TATTCCTTTAAGTTTACAGAAATTAGTGCAGATGGATGCCAGGTTGGTACTGGTACATAAAATGTTGGTATGGAAAGCAACAAATAATTGCCTTGTGCATGTATGTAGGAGACCCAGTGAAATTTTACAGCAACACAGAAGTATTCCTTATTTGAAAAGCAATAATTAAAAAAAATGAAAAAAGGGAAAGAATGAAAAATATGACTGTTTAGAGAACAAGTGATCCCATCTCAGGGTGAGCAAGGGACTTGAAGAGAAATTTCTCTGAAGAAGACAGACGCATGGCCTACAGATATATGAAAAATGATCATCATCCTTAACCATCAGAGAAATGCAAATCAAAACTACTTTTGAGATATCATCTAACACCAGTAAGATTAGCCCATATCACAAAATCCCAAAATCACAGATGCTGGCGTGGTTGTGGAGAAAAGGGAACACTTCTACACTGCTCGTGGGATTGCAAACTAATACGTCCCTTTTGAAAAGTCAACTGGAGAACACTTAAGAGAACTAAAAATAGATCTGCCATTTGATCCTATAATTCTTCTGCTAGGAATATATCAAGAAGACCAAAAATCACACTACAATACAGATATTTGTACCAGAATGTTCACTGCAGCCCAATTCATAATTGCTAGGTCATAGAAGAAGCCCAAGTGCCCATCCACCCATGAATGGATCAATAAATTGTGGTATATGTACAGCATGGAATACTATGCAGCCATAAAGAAAGATGGAGCCTTTACCTCCTTCATGTTTACATGGATGGAGCTGGAAAATATTCTTCTTAGCAAAGTATCCCAAGAATGGAAGAAAAACTATCCAATGTACTCAATCCTATTATGAAACTAATTTTTGGCTATCATAGGAAAGCTATAACCTAATTTTAGCCCAAGAATATGGGGAAAGGGGAGAGGGAGAGGGAGAGGAGGGGAGGGGAGGGTGATTGCTGGGATCACGCCTATGATTTATCCTATAAGGGTACGTGTGAATCTTTCTAAACGTAGAATATAACTGTCTTAACACAACAACTATGAGAATGACATGAAGGCTATGTTGGCCAATTGGATGAAAGTATTTCAAATTGTATATGGAAACAACACACTGTACCCCATGATAGTATTAATGTACACAACTATGATTTAATAAAAAAAAAAAAAATGATTTTGCAGAAAAAACAAAACAAAAAAAACCCCAAAACAGAAAAAAAATGACTGTTTAGACATCAAAATTTGACATTCTCTAATAAGCAAAGGAATTAGATACATCAGGATCAGTTTTGCCAGACTAAGTTTGTACAAAACTTTTTAGAGATAAGGTAAGGTACTTATTTTACTTATGCTACTGAATAGAATATATATTAATATTTACACTTTCTTCTATGAAACCAAACCAATTAAACCCCAGGTGTCTTTAGTCACAAAGAGGGAACATACAAGAAAAACTAATTTTCAGACTTAATTTTCTAACAGGTGGGGCTACTTCCTAGAATAAGTTAAACAAGAATATTTTACTATAAAATGTATTTTTCTTTTAAAAGTTTACCTGGTTTTGCACATATATGACTTTATCATAACTTCAAACTTACTAATCTATTACCTTTTGTAGTTTTGTTACTTTTACTAAAAAAGCAGAAATTTACAAAAATATTTTATAAAAATAAAATACAGTAAAAGGCACTGCTTCTTCTCTTCTACTAATAGAGCAATTCTTGCAGCTCCAACAATATTAGTCTTATGTATCAGGTGATACATAGTTCCTAAACCAAAATAAATGTTTCAAGATAGGCACTATAATGGTTAATTGACCACAATCAGTGCAAAAAAAAGGTACACGAATTTAAACCTGTTAACCTGAGTTGATAAACGTCATTATACCAAATTATTCCATGAGAACAAAAATGAAAAATGTGGCTCCAAAAATTACCAGATGTCTATCTTAAAAATCCAAGATGCCGGCTCAGCGCCTATAGCTCAACCAGCTAAGGCGCCAGCCACGTACACCTAAGGTGGCGGGTTCGAATCCCCAGCCCGGACCCGCCAAACAACAATGACGGCTGCAACCAAAAAATAGCCGGGCGTTGTGGCGGGTGCCTGTGGTCCCAGCTACTTGGGAGGCGGAGGCAGGAGACTCGCTTGAGCCCAGGAGTTGGAGGTTGCTGTGAGCTGTAATGCCACCGTACTCTACCCAGGGGGACAGCTTGAGGCTCTGTCTCAAAAAAAAAAAAAAAAAAAAAATCCAAGATGCCAAGAACCTTAAAGAATTAGAGTCCCTAAAACCAAGCACACAGATCCTTTTAATAAAAATAAAATTTTTTATTTTTCTCTGGGTTCCATATATATATGTGTGTGTGTGTGTGTGTGTGTGTGTATATATATATATATATATATTTTTTTTTTTTTTAGAGACAGAATTCCACTTTGTTGCCCTCGGTAGAGTGCTGTGGTTTCACAGCTCACAGCAACCTCCAACTCCTAGGCTAGGTGACTGATTTTCTTGCCTCAGCCTCCCGAGCTGGGACTACAAGTGCCTGCCACAACACCCGGCTATTTTTTGTTGCAGTTTGGCCAGGGCTGGCCACCCTCAGTATATGGGGCCGGGACCCCACCCACTGAGCCATAGGTACTGCCCTTCCCAAAATATTAACACTGTATTTTAACCTAAAGAAAAACTGACATTTTAGCAAAATATCAATGAATCTCTTCTAACATGTCTTACCTGGAATAAACCTCTTCACATTCCATTGTTACATAAAATTACTTACCCGTGTCCGATCTTCAATGTTGTATATTTTTAACTGCATGGGGATGTTGAAGCTATGTAAAAAATTGCCTCCAAACACTAATGTGTCTGTAGGAGTATACACAGCATGAATCCAGCCTAAAAGAAAGAGAATGGAGGGCAGTGGCTGAAAGCACACAATATAATAAGGCTCTCTCAGTGTAAGACCGGTTTGACTCTGCTGCTTACTGGTTGGTCAAATTACTTAATCTCTCAAAGCCTCAATTTCCTTTATAAAACCAAGATAAATTATACTTCATAAGGTTGTTGGTGATCATTAATGAGAGATACATGTGAAGTGTTCAGCACACAATAAATGTTTTTCTTGGAGACAAAAGAGTCTCACCCTGTCACTCTGTGTAGAGTGCCCTGGTGTCATTGTAGCTCATGCCAATCTGAAACTCTTGGGCTCAAGCAATCCTTTTGCCTCAACCTCCCAAGGAGCTGAGACTACAGGCACCCATCACAACACCTAGCTAGTTTTTCTATTTTTAGTAGAGACAGGGTCTAACTCTTGCTCAGGTTTCAAACTCCTGAGCTCAAGCAATCCTCCCACGTCAGCCTTCCAGAGTGCTAGGATTATAGGTGTGAGCTACTGTGCTCACATAATAAACTTTTAATAAATGCTACCATTTACTGGAGCACCATGAACCAGGCTCTGTATAATAAGATAGTTTACAGTGATGTATCCTCATTTACTCCTTACAACAAATTAAGATACCAATTTAAATATTTGACCAAAGTGGTATCTCACCATGCACAGTGAGAATTCTAATACCGTTCTATGGCTCCAAAATCTGGTTGTTTTTTTTTTTTTTCCCCCAGACAGGGTCTGTTCTCCTGTTTAGAATGCAGTGGTGTCACCACAGCTCACAGCAACCTTAAACTACTAAACTTAAGCAATCCTCCCATTTTAGCCTTCGAGTAGGTAGGACTACCAGCACATGTCACCATGTCCAGCCTTTATCTATTATTATTATTTTTTTTTTTTTTGGTACAGCTGGAGTCTCACTATGTTTGCTCAGGCTGGTTTTGAACTCCTAGACCTAAGGCTTCCTTTGTAGCTTCCACTGTAGCTTCCCAAAATGCCAGGATGATAGGCCTGAGCCATTGTGCCTGGCCAATGCTCTTTATAACCACTTATTTTTGAACTATGACTTGACTAAAAATATTTCTTATTCAGTACTCTAGCCTTCACAGCCATTCCCTAGAAGAGCACGTAGCTCTTCCCCTCTGCAGGTTGTGTATCACCTGAACAGGTCCTAGTCATAAAGATTCTGAATTACTAAAGCTAATATGGGGCACAAATGTGTAGATCAGAAAAGCTTTGCTGGCAGGCAAGTCAAACACACCTTTATTGGAAAATGCCTCTAAAAATAAAAAATTCTCAGTATCTACTTCACATTGACAGGAAGATACCACTATTTTCCATCCAACTCAGCATCATAACCATTCTCAGTGGTAAGCCATTATTTTCTTTTTAAGAAAAGAAATGGCGAGTGTAAACAACCCAGTTTTCCCCCATTTTGCTTACCCGAGGGAATGACGAAGGTATAGCCCTGCTTGAGCTCAATGCGCTGGCAATCTGACACTCGGTCACCCAGAAAGATGTCTCCCTGTTTCCCTGACAGCAGCCAATTCTCGTACAGCTCCAGGTTGTGGGCTGTAGGGGGGATGAGCCAGAAGACCTGTGAGTTAAAAAACTTCAGTCTGTTAACAGCCATTGACATGACCCAGTCGTCTTCCCTCAACTGATAAATAGGTACAAAGTGAAGACCACCAGGTAGAAGAAAAGCAAGCAATTCTCCCAGCTTATAGAATTTGACTACTTGGGAAATGCTAGAAGTTCTAAGAAAGGAGATATCTCTTGTTCTCTACTTGATCAAACAATACAACTTCCCTGGGGTCTGACTGCAGACTAGAACCCATCCAGGACTCAGAAAGAGGGGCATTTGGCATACTTAGACGGTCCTTTAGAAGCCCCTGGCTGGCTGACCTCTAGAGTCCTAAATAGCATGGTCGGTTGGGTATAGTATCTTCAAGAGATATTTCCCAAGATAGTAATTAAGACCAACTGGACTTCAATATATCTAAAGGAAACAACGCGACTTTTGGATTTTGGAGGTATAGTTATTTTAGAGCAAGACCTCACATTTTATATAGTATCTGTTTTCATTCTAGTTCTACCTTTCACTCACAAATGCACTCACTTCCATAAATCTCAGCCTTTTGGCTAAGATCAAGCACAGTATCTGTTCTGACCAGTTTAATAAATGCATTCACTTCTAGTAAAATTAAAAGGGTAACAACAGAGAGTAATCCTATACACTTGTGAGATTACTTCTAGATTTCCATTCTTATGTAGTATTCAGGAACATTCTGACAAGGTGGAATGTACTTTTTTTGAATACGAATAATCTTCAAAACTTATTTACATCCTCAAAAAAGACCTAAGGCTTCCTTTGGTCACAATTCAGACCCATGCCTCTATACAAGAGAAGTTGGTTTGGATCTATATTCACTGAAGACATAATCAAGTAATGCTAACCTCTGGAAAGGAGTAAGAAATCTTAAAACCATTACTTCAATCCACTCTATTTTTCATGTTAGGGTTATTTTAACTGGTTTTTAACAAGATAAGCATCATATTTACACTCTAGGTGCTTAAGGATTATTCTGTTAATTTTATTTTTTTTTATTAGATCATTAACTTATACATTACTGCATTTATGGGGTTCAATGTGCTGATTTTATGTACAATTTGGAATGTTTACATCAAACTGGTTAACATACACCCTTCACCTCATTTAATTGTTGTGTTTAGACGTTTATACTCTACTCTTAATATATCTGACATGTACCCTTGCAATAGGTTTGGATCTTAAATTGCTGATTTCATTGTGAATCTATCTAAATTTTGTGTTCTTTTCCACTATGTTACTATTAATACATTTCTAATACAGAAATTGTCTTGCCCTCCTAAAATCACTTTCTTGGCTTCATTTGGAAAAATCTGTTTTGGGAATCTAGAAACAGAACTGTTGAGATGTACTAGTACTCTGCCAATATTAGTGTAATGATAGAGTAAATGAATACTAATTCCTGCAGAACACTAGCCAAAAAGGTCAACTTAATATATATTTCTTCCCAGATAAGAATGGGGACAATTTCCTAACAGATTCATTTCCAGGGTATATTCAAAATCATATAACCACTTCATATTCTAACCTCTATTACAACTATGACCATACCTTTCCCCCTTGATGAATGTGATACCAAACAGAGGTACCACCAAAGTCCACGTGGAAGTCAGTATAGCAGCCTCGAACACTCATAAGACAGTACCTGACCCCCCCAAAAAACAGCAGCATTAGTGTACTGATAGAAAAAGAAGATCTGCCCCACCAAAATGCTACACTTTCCCCTCATGTGCTCCCTCAACTTTCTACCTAATCGGCTCCTAATCAACTTCTAATAAGTGGAAGAATGCAATTTCAGGTCATCACATTATCAGAAAGATATAGTTTTTCTCTTTAATCATGTGATTATATGCTACGTTCACACACATTCTTCCTTTCTGAATTGTAAAGTTTTCCCCTTAAACAATCTTTAAATATAATCTTTTTGCTCATTTAGCACATGACCATTCCTTGCTACCCCTTTGGTCTCCCACAGCACACTGACGAAAGGTGGGGTGTGCTGCTTACTTCTGCACTTTAGGGTACTGCATCTCCAAGATGGCATTTGTTGATTCAGTCTGACTCTCCTTTAAGTGCCTTGGCCACATGTTGTCCACCCAGTCGATGAAATCCACCTTTAAAAAGGAGAAAACATTTAGGGTCCAAAGGAAGGGCTGGGATTAAAGAAAACTATAAAGTTAAGAAAAACAGAATTTGGTGAAACATACATTAAAAGACTACAATGTAATTATAATCTGTATTTATTTTTTTAGCCTGGTGAAAGTTGCTTTCTGAAAGGTACCTGTAAACTCACCAAACATACCATTTTTAGAGCAGCTAAGATGCCAAAAGTAAAATAAAAAAAGAAGAAAAAGAAAAAAGTTGTATATGCATTTGTAGTCCCACATGGGCTATGGTGCTACAGGAACCAGCAGGTTAGGAATCAGAAACTCCAAGTCTGTCATGTTTCACAAGATTATGTAAGGCCCCAAAACTCATCTATAAGACTAAGATAATTACCTTGAAGGTACGTTGTATGGATTAAATGTAAATACATGTTGACCTTTTTGAAATAAAGTCATCAAATTTCAGAAATCTGTGTTAAATAATATTTTCTGAAAAAAATGAGAAGTGAAAGCAGTATGAAACTATATCAACATTTTACACTAAATCATAACATGTCCTGCATGTCAAGTGTCTGCACCCAACCACTGAACTCCAGCTAGGTGAAAAAAAAAACAGCTCCAGGTAGATAAAGTGTTAAGAACAAAACAATAACAACAACAACAACAACAAAAACAACATTAATTCAGCATTGTGCTGATGTTATAAGTACCTAACTTACAGCTACAAAAAACATGTATCTGGTAAGCTTTGTAACAGTATCTATCCATTATGATGTATAGAGACAAATCCATACAATCTGTGTATTAAATGAGGCAATGGATACCCAGATGTTAACTGCAGGAGTGTATTTGGAAAGAATCACCAATGACATGTAAAAAATAAGCAAAACGAGAAGCAACTATTAAGGTTAACTTGTACTGTCTCAAAAAATTTCTACTGGGGGAGGGGGGACAACAATATTAACCAAGCCTAAGCCAAAACACTGAGCCCCAGATGACCTTCCTTCCTTCAAATGAACTCTACTTTCTATTTCTTAATGCAGAGGCCAGCATCTCCCATCTCCTTGTGTAGTCTCCTGGAGCACCTTTAACAGAGGAATGAATCACATACTTAAATACATGTATACTATAAGTGCCCATGTCTGGACAGGGAGAAGGGTTAGGAACTCACGAGCATTTTTTACCAGTGTTCACTCATAGAAAGCAGAATTTCTCTGGCCAGAATTTCTCATCTGCAGCAACAAAGTCA